AAAAAAAATAAAAACAAAAATAAAATAAAAAAAAACAAAAAAAAAAAGAATGAGCCCGTGCAAAAGCTACCCGGGAGAGTTCGCTACTGCCTTTGCTCACCACAGACCGTATACACCCTTGACCCCATCCGGCGAGCTCTCTGTGCCAGCGGTGGAATCTTGCAGCGCAGACAACCAGATAACAGGGAACGCTGAAGCGTATTTCAAGGCGTTGGCCAAGGGTCGCATGGACTTGCCCGAGCTGGCATTCGACCCCGGTACGGGAGCCGAGACGAGATACTCTGCTATGCATTGCCGAAATCGAATCAGGTAAGGCAGCCTGTCGCCAAAGGTTCGAGAAGGGCTCAGCTTCGCTCTGTGTACGATCGCATCGGGCCCAACTGTAGTTCATAGGCATAGCCAAGTAGGGAGACACTCACGTAGCCAAGCAGGGCACTATCAAGCTTCCTCTTCCATTCCACCACTCGTGATGATTTCGTCGCGGTAGGAGGAAGCAAGCAGTCAACCACACATCCCCTAGCACCTTTGCAAAAGATGTCAAAATGTCTGCCAATAGCACGTCTGGAAACGTGGGACCTTGTGCGAGCGTCGGTCTGAGCAGGTGGAGAAGGTGTCTAGGAAGTACAGGTTGGCAAGGAAAGCATGGTTGGTCAGCAATATTGCTCGATGCACCCAGGCTCGATGGCCCTGCCTGCGTTTGACATCGCGCGGCCTGAATCACTGTACCACCTACGATCGAGATAAGGATCCTACTCACCTCCCAAAGCCCACTCTTGTCCACTTGGCTGCAAATTCGCCAGGCCAAACGGCAAGCGCAACGGCACCCAGAACCGTGATGCCCTGCAGCACCTGCGCATGTCTACCCTTCGGATCGCCAGCCAAGAGGTCCACATAAACCCTGTACGTCAACCAGCCAGCCATCGCCCAGAGAAAGTATATGAGCGCAAATGAGAGCACCCTACGCTCAAGCGCTGTGGATGATGACGACGTGGGGACGGAAGCTTGTGCTGACGGACGTCCTGCACTAGAGGTGAAGGGCTCTACGGACGCTGAAGTGATGTCACTTCCGGCAGGAAGGGGGGCCGAGGTTGCGCTGGAGCTGAGAGCGCCCACGCTCGAAGACAGGTTGCTCATCGGCACCGCTGACCTGTCCTCTGCGCTTGGGCTTGCTGTATTTCTGGAGGATGACGAAGCTGGGCTGATCTCGAGTCCAAGCCTCCTCAGTCCTCTAAGGTTTGCCCACCAGCAGAATAAGCCCAAGGCGACGAGCAACAAAACCCTGTGAGGAGGGGGCAAAGTGCGACTGAACGAATGCACCGCTGTCGATGAGGATGATGACGTGGCGTGGTCGCCAATGGCTGACCCGCCGTAGACTAGGTCTGAGCCCGCCGCCAGGCCGCTCCCAACGGCAGCGATCAAAGGATTCCTATCCCACGTCTCTGGCAGCAACCCTCTTCCATGAGCAGCATGTCTGACCGACACAGGAGCAATAGGTCTGAGCCAGCTGAACTTGAGCGCCCACCGATTGTAAGGGTTGACTGCTGATCCGGCCACGGCCAAAGGAGCCATACTTGCTCTGTTGCCCATCGACCTCACTGCTTTCCGAACACAGTCTGGTGAGAGTGCTTCGTCGAAGGTGAGCGAGACGGAGCGTATCCGCGAAAGAATGCCATCTGTCAAAGGCTCCTTCGTCAAGGGCGTGTCCCAGCTATAGGACGGTCCGATTAGCTCAGGAAGCGCAGCGGCAACCATGTTGGATTGCGAATCGTAGGCCGTCGCTGTATTGGATCAACAGGTGTGCAATGGGCTCAAGGACAATCCTAATGCGGCTAGATTACCAGAAGGCTGTCTTGACGAGAGCCTTCAGAGCCGAGTGCCCCTGCTGCCAAATTGCTGAGGGAACTCAAAACGGTGATGAGGTAGTTTGATGCTGGATATGTTTTTCACCTAACCGTTCGCGCTAGCCTGGCTGTGCCGCGCCTCGAGGCCTGCAGCCTTCGAGGAGCCAAGTACGGGGTCGAGCGAGTTGAAGATTGACCACAGAGCGTGAGTCGGTCGGGATGGAGTCTGACGGTAAAGAAGGAGGTTAGAGTGGAATCTGTGAAGTCCACGGATCTGGAACTTTGGTCATGATATGATGTGCTTTATGTATGCTGCAAGCTAACGAGAGGTTGCCGAGCAGAGAGAGAGAGGAGTTGAGGAGAAGCAACGTGCTGCAGGTAGGCATGCAGGCAGCAATTAAGCACCTGCAACAGTCACGAGTCACGAGTATCATCGCATCGCATCGCGATCTTGTTGGTCGATTGCAGCAACGATTAAGCGTGCAAGCAAGCAAAAACAGCAGCTCGGCGCACGGAAGGGTCACGCATGCACCAAAGGCCGAGCGCTTGCTGCCGCGGGTGGCTGATGCACGGCCGGGCGATGCATGAGCAGCAAGCAACGCGAATCACAATCACAATCACCAATTCACTCGGCAGAGCACCGATGCGATCCTAAAGTACGAGGAACGACGGTGAATGCGTCATCTCTCCTGCGATGCAATCGTGTCATTCATAATTCTCATTCTTGACTCTCTTGACTCAATTCAATACTCACTTTGCCAAGATGATCAGACCACTCGATCGTGACTGCCAAGTACAGCCCGCACAAGCTTTTGCCAAGCGATGACTCGGCCATTTGCACCCTCCGGATCTCGCCCGCGCAGCAAACACAGACCTGCTGCAGCTTGGTAATGTCTCAGCTCTCCATTGACAAATTGACCCTCCAAGCATCCAGACCAGGAACCGGAAAAAA